TAATAATTTGCCGTTGGGTGACCGACTCAGAAAACATACTATATGTCTAAAATATGCAAAATGCAATTTAAAAAGCGTACAACAGATAATTAGTTGTGTACTAGTTGTAATATATGGGGAGAATCAGTTACAGCATTTTTATAGCTATCCTTTGAACCATTGGATTGTCTAGGGCAAACTGGTTTGGATAGGGTCCTTGGGGTATAGGGAATCCTTCCTACATATTTGTAAACATTTGTAAACATTTCATCCCTTCGGTTGGGACCACAAAATTTCTCTACGCTTGACAATAGACCACCCTCATTCTAAAACCTGTGACCCGACTGCTTAAGATTTGAGACTCTGAAGAGTTGAGTTATAAAGTGCACATTCTGACATTGGGGGTCTTGAACATGTTGAATTGCCTCTACTTTACCCAGTACATTGTCTGTAAGACAAAACCAATAAAACCTTCCTTCAAATAAGAGCTTCAAAACACTGAAAAGTGCACTCCAGTTTTTTGGGCCACTCAATCAGAAAAGTCTGGTCCATGACAAAATAAGTGATCAAGCTTAGAGTTGTTAAGTGCTGCACTCTACCCACCCCAGTTAGATGAGATGCCATTTGAAATAAAAGAGAACTAAGAAGAAGGGGAGACAGTTTCTTGATGACCCCTTTTATAGTGCTGGAAAGTTTTGACAGTTTCTGCATCATGGTGGATCAGTAACTGGGTGCTGTACCTTGCTAATCATTTGCTGCAATGCAGTGTTTATTCCACCCTGGCTAGCTGAAGAGCAGAATAGTGTGCAATGAAGCAGTGTGCCACAACAACTTCAAATTCATCTAACCCATGCGGCATTTATGCAGATTTCCTAACATACTGTATGCTACCGCTAATTTTGATGAACAACAGTTGGCCTGAAAATGTTGCATGTGAACGCCAATAAGACTTCTTCAGAGCCTGTGTACTCGTATGAAGGAAGTAAGGACAGTTAATCCTCTCTTTTCCTTTATGCTTCAATACAGTGGTGCCTCACATAGCGAGGTTAATCCGTTCCAGATTAACCTTCGCTATAGCAAAACATCGCTAAACGGAATTAAAAAAGCCATAGAAACGCATTGAACTTCGTTTAATGCGTTCCTATGGTTTTAAAACTCACCGTTAAGCGATGTTCTTCCATAGCGCCGCCATTTTCGCGCCCTCGGTAAGCGAGGGCAGGGCGCAAAAATGCGGCGCGGACCTTCCGGCGGCCATTTTGGAACCGCCGATCAGCTGTTCTCCCCCACTTCGTTATGCGATATTCACTAAGCGAATCGCTTAGCGAATATCGCAAAGCGAAAAAACGCCATAGGGGCCATCACTGAGCGAATGCTCCAGCGATGGCCCAGAGCCCCTCGTTAAGCGATTTCATCGCTCAGTGGGGCGCTCGTTAAGCGAGGCACCACTGTATGTATAATTTATTTCAGAGGTGGGGGACTTCTAGAAGTTCGTGGACCACCATGTGGCCACCCCTGAAGTGCCTCACCTGCTTTCTCTCATCTCCACTCCAAAAACATTGTCTTAGTTTATTTTTCACTGAAAGTTGCCTTGCACCGTCTAGTGGCAATTTTTTTTAAAAAAAGAATGAGAATGGAGGTGCTGCCTGCCCAAATGTGCCAGATTGCCCATGACTCTGAGAGTACACAAAGGAACTTTTTGAGCATTTACAAAGGTTTTTTTCTTCTTTTTAATTTGCAGAACAGGAATGCAAGGAAGCACATTTGAGCTCCTGGGCCCACCCAAAATCTATATATTGAATCTTTCACATTTTGTGAATTCGTAACATGCTAAAGAAGGGAAATTAGGCAAAGAGTGAATCTCCAAATAGACTGTTCAGAAGATTTTTGTGAAATTACTCTGGTGTCACACTTGATTTGGCTTTTCTGAAAAAATGAAAAAGGTCGTGTCTCGGGGGGGGGGAGTCAGTTGTCTCATTCAAGAACTGTTGCCTTGAAGGCTATTACCAAATGCTTTAACCTAATGGTTCTTAATCTTTTTTCACAAACCTCTTGAAAATTGAGAGAGGTGATGGCAGACCACTTAATAAACTCTTTTTCTACAGTGACCTCAACTCATGTGAAATTTTGAAAAAGAATCTTAACTATCAACATCATTGTCAAAAGTGGCATTGTGTTATAAGAGTCACAGACTTTAGGCTGGATAGCTTATGTTAAGGGTCCCTTTTACTCATATATGTTCAGGGGAGATTAATAGATGGCACTAACACGCAAACTGTGTTAGCTTATTTGATAATCTTGTAGTATAGAAGGCTTTGATAGCAAATGCTGATGATGTGCATGTACAGCTTTTTTTAAAAAAACCCAAAATCAAACAAGCAAAATTAAATCCATAAAAATGTAATTTAGTAAAACATTTGAATCTGCAAAATCACTAGGGATACTCTGGAAAAAGCTTTGTGCAGAATGCTAGTCAGTTCTGCCTCTTGTATAAATAGTGTTCTCTTCAAGTGTTATAGCATTTGGGTTCATCAGTATGCTTAGAGAGGAATGCCCTATAGCCTCATCCCTCTGAAACATTACTTTGCTCAGATGGTGAACAAGGAGTCTGAAGTAAAGAAATATCCCTTCCATGCAAGTTAGAACTCAGGTTTTCCAGTGTTCTTGATCATGTCTAAAGCCTACAAATGAAAAGGCATTTTCCCTCTTCAGACTCATTGTTGATTGTCTGGGATGGGGGAGAAGTATGATGGAAAGGCTGGGGCTAGAGGGTGCTCCCCTCTAAGTATGTTGAGGAATCAGTGTTAAAACATTTGTATCAGACTCAGTTGTATGGAGTTGAAAGGCCAAGTGAACCTACAGAGGTAAAGGCACTTGATGAGTTGTGTAGATAGCTTAGAATCATAGAATAATGCCATTGAAAGGAATCTATAAGGCCACCAAGTTCAACTTCCTGCTCTAGGATTTTATAAGTTACAGATCTGATAGAAACTAGTTGTACTATATAATAAAGAATTAATAGCACCAATGACACAAACGGAATATTTCTACATGGACCACCTAAGAGGAAAAAAGGCTATATTGGGAACTTGGTAAAGTTCTCTACAGGTCTTCACGTGGCAATAAATTCCCTCCTTTGTAAGACTAAGTGGGTTCTACAACAAAACATGACTCTGAGGGAATAAGTAAACTTGGGGTTTTCATCTTGAACCAAATTTGCTTGAAATATTCCATACCCTCTCTTTTTGTGGCGTGTGCTACTTATTATGGCTCATATACAGTTGATGGAGACTGCAGATTCAAAATGACCTGACCAACATCATTCAGTGATTCCATCAGCCATAGATATGAACCCCCAATGCCAAACACTTTAAATTAAACTATACTGGCTTTGCTGCCATTTAATATAAAACTCTACTGTGGTCTTCTTCATCTGCTTTTTCTTTATCAATTGGTATTAGATTGCAGGCATAGTCATAGGAGACAAGAATGACAATTGCAATGTTTACACTCTGGTTTTGATTTTTTTTTTCTCCCGCCCTTCCTATGTTTGAGAGAGAGAGAGTCCATGCAACTAGGGACTTGGGCATATGATTCTCAAACAGCTCCTTCCTCCAAACTAGTTTTATAAGCTAGAACAGCAGTCTCCAACCTTTTTCGGTCCACGGACAGGCTGGGGAAGGTGGGGCACCCACCGTGCTTGTGCACATGTGCAAATAAGCACGTGCGCGCCTGTATGAGTGCCATGCTGCTGTTTGTGCATATGCTCTCTTTTTCATGTTCATGCGCAAATGGCAGCACTGCACTTGTCTAGGTGTGCGCATGTGCAAATGGCAGTGCAGTGCTCGCACAGGCGTGCTGGAGCATGCGCGCAGGTGCAAACAGGCTATGCGGGGTGAGTGTGGGGGTGGGGTGGGGCGGGAGTCTTTCTCAGTGGCCTGGTCCGGCTCAGGCCATGGACCAGCACCAGGCTGCGGGCCAGAGGTTGGGGACCTCTGAGCCGCACTTGTCTAGGTGTGCGCATGTGCAAACGGCAGTGCAGTGCTCGCACAGGCGTGCTGGAGCATGCGCGCAGGTGCAAACAGGCTATGCGGGGTGAGTGTGGGGGTGGGGTGGGGCGGGAGTCTTTCTCAGTGGCCTGGTCCGGCTCAGGCCATGGACCAGCACCAGGCTGCGGGCCAGAGGTTGGGGACCTCTGAGCTAGAAGACTTTATAGCAGATGATGTGGCAAACAGTGTGTGTTTGCTGCTCAAATATAGTATTTATTTGAATGCCTTAGTGCAGTGTTCCCCAACTTCGGGCCTCCAGATGTTCTTAGACTACAGCTCCCAGAAGCCTTCACCACCATCTCTGCTGGACAGGATTTCTGAAGTCCAAGAACATCTGGAGGCCCAGGGTTGGTGATCCCTGCCTTAGTGGATATACACTCAGGTCAGTAAAGCAGATTTAGAACCTGACTGATTTATTCTGGGGGGTTATTGATCTTGCTTGAATACAGGGACTGTTGGCATTGCTCAGTGGCACAAATGGGTGCATTAAGTTCCTGAGCAGAGAATACTGATAGACACAAGAATTATGGGCTCAAATCCTGTTATGTAATTATGCCAACTGAAGAGAAATGTCGTTCCACAAGGAGGCGAAGACCTTTCTCCTCAGGCAAGCTTTCCCTTAGTGACTGGCTATCTGGGTAGACTTTTAAATGGATTGTTATACTATATTGCTTTGAATGTGTTTTGGTGTTGCTTATGTTTTTAGTATGGTATTTGTTTGATCATTTTTAGTATTTGTATACTCACTGTTGTTCACTTTAGTATTGTCTTTTAATGATATAACCTACCTTGGTTCTTTTTAAGAAAAGAGGGTAATCAATCAATCAATCAATCACAGAAGTATATCAATGAGCACCTGCTTCAATTCTTCATTGCATACCAATTGTGTGGCTTGGCGTGAACAGTAATCCCTGCAGAAACTTGCTTATTACTGGCAGTTTGCCACTGCGAGTTCTGGCGCAGCCATGCAACAGGATTGTGCCCTTTGTTTTACTGAAGATCAAAATTAAAACCTTTTGTTGAAGACGAAACCATCAGTAAAGCCTTATAAGTGTAGATATCTGACAGCATTTTAAAGAAGAATATAAACTGAACTTGTAAGCTCACAGAGTTCTTAACCATTTGTTCCATAGGTGACGTTATTGTCAGTGTGAATGACACCTGTGTTCTGGGCCATACACATGCTCAAGTTGTAAAAATCTTCCAATCAATTCCCATTGGTGCCAGCGTGGACCTAGAACTGTGCCGAGGCTACCCTCTGCCTTTTGACCCAGATGATCCCAACACCAGCCTGGTAACATCTGTGGCCATTTTGGATAAAGAACCAATCATTGTGAACGGGCAGGAGAACTACGATTCCCCAGCAAGCCACGGTAGCAAAACGGGGAAAGTCAATGGGATGAAAGAGCCAAGGCCTAGCAGTCCTGCTGAGGTTTCTTCCAATGGATCCCACAGCTATCCTAACGACACCGTCTCTTTGGCTTCTTCTATAGCAACGCAACCTGAACTCATAACTGTACATATAATTAAAGGGCCAATGGGTTTTGGCTTTACTATAGCAGACAGTCCTGGGGGTGGGGGACAGAGAGTGAAGCAAATTGTTGACAGTCCAAGGTGCCGAGGGCTAAAAGAAGGAGATCTTATAGTTGAAGTCAATAAGAAGAATGTGCAGAATCTAACTCACAACCAAGTTGTGGATATGCTGATCGAATGTCCTAAAGGGAGCGAAGTGACGCTGCTCGTGCAACGAGGAGGTAAGTTTGGTGTATTTTGCTTTTTATTTAATGAAAAATAGCACAACTAGCTTAAATGTGCATGTTTTAATTTAAATAATATATATACAGCTACCCCATTAGATGCAAAAATGATAACCATTAGCTTTTAGTTTAAACCATCTTTTAAAACAGCACTGTAAAAATATAGCAGAAACCTGTCCTCGAAGTTTTAAATTTATTTCCAGTTAAGCCTGGTGTTTGATTTTTAAGCACTAGTACCAGTGCATTAGAAAGGAAAGCGACACACAGTATTAATCTTCTCTAAAATAAGATCTCAAAAACTATAGGGAAATTGTTGCTTTTATGAGAGCTGAAGTTGACATTTGATCTTCCTTGTTATGAAACCCAAATAATGATGAGATGGTCTCATCAGGAATCTACCCATTTTAATGAGAAACTGAAATGGTCAGTCAGCTGAATCTTTATTAATGAGTTTCATTTCTATCCTATCACTTAGCACCATTTTAGCTGATCACCTTGTTGTAAAAATCATAGGAAAAGAATTGATATGACTTTGCCCTAATTACTGTGCTCATTTTTCTGTTTCTAGAAGTAAGATGCTTTGATATATTGTGCCTAAGTACCTTTCCAATGCAATAGAGTGTATGTTCCAGCACTTTTCCTAGATGAAAGAAGGACTGCCTCCCTTCTTTTCCCTTTATTTCCCCTTTCTTCTCCCAGTCCTTCCTGGGCTTTATCTTGCTTTTAAAAATATATATCCCAAAGAAACATTGTGTGGTCTCAGAATCACTGAGAACATTCTCTCTGGCCAGTTCTAGAGCAGGCATGCCCATAGGGACCCCAGGGACTGAAATGTGGGTCTTTTCAATTAATGTTTTCCCCCTCTTCCTCTCTCTGTCATTATATCTGCAGAGTTAAGAAAAGTTACTGTTTCAAACTGCCTTGCGCAAAATATTGGGGGAGGGGGTTTCTTGGAGTTGAAATCTGAAAAAATAACTTTTCCTAAGCTCTTCATTTCTCTACTACATTCTGATCTCCGTAGTGGAGTTCCCAGCACCATTAGTGTTTAGGGTAGAGATAAGGAAGCACTGTCCTCTTAATACTTATATATATATAAGTTGCAGTGTTGCCTGCTGTACATGCAGATTTTACCA